TTTTCTGAGGTTCTCGCGGGTATTTGTATGTGGATCTTTGGCGTAAGATTCAAAGATCTTTGGCGTAAGATTCAAAGATCCATATATATATATATATATATATATGAATATGTGTATATGCGTATATGTATATTGGTGGGTGTGTAGATGGATGGATGGATGAGAGGATGAAAAGATAAACAGAGAGAGACACACACAGAGATATTTATCTATAGATATATAGATATAGGTGTGTGTATATATATATTAGTGTGTATATACAACATATATGTGTGTGTGTCTATGGGTGGGTGGATAGATGGGGTGGATGGATGGATAGATAGATTCTTTTGAGAGTGGGCATCAGAATTTCATTTTTAATGTATGCCAGTGTGTACACAGAAAAAGTGACAATAGAGGTTATCGTATCTTATCTTGAACATTACATACACCAGTAGTTGTGTTCAGTACTAGTATAGAAGGAAAAAATATTTACAGTAGGAAAAAACAGGAGCCACGCTCATTTCTCCTGTGACTTACTGTCAGTCTGGAGTGCTGAAGTTAACATTTCTCGACATTTGCCTCGAACTGTGTCACACGTGATGGGCACCGGAGGAAAAGTAGTGATTTTGGGAGTGGTGGGAGTTTTTACAGACTCCTGCCTTTTGATGGAGCTGAAAGAGAAAACAGACCTGTCAGAATGTTGAGGTAGAATTCTTTATTTCCAGAAGTTTCGAAGCCTCCTTCCTATTTTACCTGGAATATTATTTATTCTTTCCCAATCTTTGGAATGTAAAAAATAATCTCCAAACCTTTCTTGCCATTGTTTCCCACATCTGTGGAGTACACGATTAAGCTCATTAAAAGATTTTAGATGTATTCAAGAAAAGGGTTTTGAAAATTCAACTAATAAAGACAGTGAAAATGTAATCAAGAGAACATTGAGGATTTAGACCCGTGATGGCGAACCTATGGCACATGTGCCACAGTGGCATGCAGAGCTATTTGTGCTGGCACGCGAGCCACAGGCAAACTTACCTCACTGCACATGCGTGTACCTCACAGCTTTTTGGCCTGTTTGAGGCCTTTTTAGACCTCCCAGAGGCTTGAGGAAAGCCTCTGAAACCCAAAAAATAGGCCCATTTCATCACTTCCTGTATTTCCAGGAATACTTCCTGTATTAACAGGCCTATTTTTCGGGTTGCAGAGGCTTTCATCAAGCCTCTGGGAGGCCGAAAAAGGCCTAAAATGGGCCAAAGATCAGCAAGGAGGTGCAGTGCAGGTAAGGGAGTGGCAGGGGGATTGCACTCACATGTGCAGGGGGCGGGAGGATGCACATTGCCTTCTGGGTGCTGGCACACAAGTGCCCGCATGCCCAATTTTTGGTACAGGAGCCCAAAAAGGTTAGCCACCACTGATTTAGAAAATTAAGCGTGGTGACACCCCCTTTTTTTTTGACAAAATTGGCAGAAGAACTGCAGTGATTCACTTAACAACTGTGGCAAGAAAGGTCGTAATATAAGGCAAAACTCACTTCACCTGTTTCCCCCAAAATATGACCTACCCTGAAAGTAAGTCCTAGCCTGATTTTTTTTCACATGCACCCAATGTAAGCCCTACCCCCAAAATAAGCCCTAATTAAGATGCCAACCACTCCAGAGTGGACGGGTAAAAATTAAGCTAGGGTGGGAATGAGGGTTGGAGCTGCCCTCCTACTTAACTTTGGACAGTTGTAGCCAAGTCCCACACACCCCGACACCTGCCTTGCCGGCCCATTTCTTCTGCATTTCCTGGAGGCCTCTGGAGCTGGTAACTATGGATCGATCCAGAGCTCTGTTATCAGCTGCAGAGGCCTTCAGGAAAGCCTTGCCAGCTGCAGAAGTAGTTCCTTGAAGGCCTCCGAAAGCAAAAAGGAGGCCGGGGGCGATGTGCACAAGTGAGGTTGGTCAGTGGATGGCATCCCCCCAAAATAAGACCTGGTGCCTTTTTTTGGGTGGCAAAAAAAATATATATAAGACAAAGTCTTATTTTCAGGGAAACACGGTATCTCACTTAGCAAGAGAAATTGTGGGATAAAATCTTAAAGAGTTAAAAATAGCCTTTATAGCCACAATCCCCTCTCCTTCCTAGTTTGTAACACTAATGTGGTTTTCTGCCACTATACGTGGTTGGCCCTGATTTGGAGGAGTCCCAAAGGTGCTTTTTTTTTCATGAGGCAACTGGACTTTCTGATTTTTTCTTTGAGGACGTTTCGCTTCTCATCCAAGAAGCTTGAAGGAGTCCCATTGTACGATTTCATCAGCAGCTTCCTTATCATCAAAATTCTTGGCTTAAAGGTTGACTTTCCTTCAGATCAGGAACACCTATTTTTCCTGATTAAGAATAAATCCAGCAGTATCCCGCTCCAACAACGGTCAACACAATACAGGTAGTCCTTGATTTATGACCACAATGGAGCCCAACATTTTCATTGCTCGGCAAGACGATGGCTCAGTGAGTTTTTCCCCATTATACAAGCTTTCTTCCCACAGTTGTTCAGCGAATCAGTGCAGTGGTTAAGTTAGCAATGCGGCCGTTAAGTGAATCTGGCTTCCTCATTGACTTTGCTTGTCAGAAGGTCGCAAAAAGGGGATTACCTGACCGGGAACACTGTCACCGTCATAAATACGAGACAATTTCCAAGCATCTGAATTTTGATGATGTGATCGTGGGGATGCGACAATGGTCGTAACTGTCAAAAATGTTCACAAGTCACTTTTTCAGTGCGGTTGTAATTTCGAACTGTCATTAAATGAACGGTTGTAAGTCAAGGACTACCTGTATTTCTGGGAAGCCTTTAAGCAGGGCAAGAAGGCTGTTGTTGCTCTACAGGTGGCCTTGAGCTTGGAAACCAAGCAAACCAACAGATCTTTTCCATAAAACATTTCTTTAATTGATTGAAAAGGACCTTGGAGGTCTTCTAGTCCAACCCCCTGCTTAGGTAGGAAACCTAAGGGTAAACCTATGGCCCGGGTGCCACAGGTGGCACGCAGAGCCATTTGTGCGGGCATGCAAGCCCCAACCAAACTTACCAGCATTGCGCATGCGTGCACCTCCCAACTGATTTTCAGCCTGTTTGAGGCTGTTTTCGTCCTTCCGAGGCTTGAGGGAAGCCTTTGCAGCCTTGGGAGGCCGAAAAATGGGCCTTCTGGAAATACCAGAAGTGCCGAAATAGGCCTGTTTTCAGCCTCCTGGGGCTCCAGAAGCTTCCCTCGAGCCTCTGAGAGGGCAAAAAACAGCCTCCCCTAAGCTCCAGAGGCCCCGAGGAAGCTGAAAATGGACACTTCTGGTATGTCCGGAAGGCCCGTTTTTCGGCCTCCCAAGGCTGCAGCGGCTTCCCTCGAGCCTCCAGGAGGGCGAAAACGGCCTTAAACAGCCTGAAAATCAGCTGGGAGGCGCACGCATGCGCAATGCAGGGAAGGGGAAGGGGGGATGTTTTGCGTACACATGTGCAGGGGAGGCAGGGCGCATTGCATTGTGGGTGCCAGCATGCACGCGTGCGCTTTCAGCACACCACAACAAAAAGGTTCGCCGTCACTGTCCTATACCATTTGAGACAAGTGGTTATCCAATCTCTTCTGTAAAAATTCTTTAATACAATTGCTTCATGTTGCTACCTTAGCCATAAGCTTTACTTCCTAAAGACATTTAGGAAGGAGTATAAAGACATTTTAGAAGAACTACATTTTGAGTAAATAAAACAAGAAGAAAAATTGTGGATCCTGCAATCGGGGGATGCAAGAAAAATCCTTTGAATCGACCATAAGCAAGCTCATTGGATCAGTGGTAAGTATCGAACCAATATCTGGATCATATGTACAGACTGCTCCCTTATGAATAATGTTATGAAAAACAGGGGAGGCGGAGAGAAAAATCAGATATATATTGAATTGAAGATGTCACAAGGGGACAAGTTTTTTTTTCTATGAAATTAAAAAAAAAATCCATCGAAGATGATAAAAAGAGCACGTTGGATCCCTGCAGCTTTCTTGATATGTTTGTGAGTAGGATATGTTTGTGAGCTCCTGTCCAATTCAACAGATCCATAATGTTAAGTGTTCAGAAAAGAGACCGTGAGGCATGTATAGGTAATCCTCAACTTACAACAGTTCATTGAGTGACCGTTTGAAGTTACAACGGCACTGAAAAAAGTGACTTATGACCGTTTTTCAGACTTATGACCGCTGTAGCATCCCAGTGCTCACGTGATTTACATTTGGATGCTTGACAACTGATTCACATTTATGACAATCCCCTTTTGCAACCTTCTAAGCAAAGATAATGGGGAAACATGATGTGATGACCCAAAGGGACGTGGCACAAAAGCAACAAAGTCACAATAGTGGGTAAAGTCCCTTTAATACCTCCAACTTGGCCCCCAATATCCAGTTATCATCGGCTGGAGAAAAAACTCTCCCAAGAACAGTTTTTAAAGGGAAAAAATTCAGTCCGAACCCAAAATACACATAAAATATAAATAAAAACCAATACAAACCACGCTGCAGCAATTAACGAGACAGGGCAGGTTAAGGAATTGCAGAATTCAAAAGATAATGAAACACACACAGTTGGGAGGACGCCAGAACTCAGATAAGAATTGACAAACTCGAAATATTTTCACACTTTGCTTCCAACAAAGAGCTATGCGCAAACACCCTTTTTATCCTGTTTTCCCAGCTGCAGCTAATTAAGGTAATCAGGGCCCTTTTCTCCCCCGTAACCCATGTTGCTCCCTTATCCGTTCCTCTCTGTGTCTCCTAGGATGAAGAGGGGTTGGGCCTGGCCCTTCCTCTGAATGCCCAGCCGGACTTTGCCCTTCTCCAGTTTTCTCCACAGCCACTGGAGCCGCACTCCCATTCCCTGCCAGCTGTTCCACCTCTTCCTTGGAATCAGATTCCAACAGGGGTATGACACATGATTCACTTAACAACCGAGTTACTGATTTAACAACTACAGTCATTCACTTAACCAATGTGGCAAGAAAAGTCATAAAGTGGGGCAAAATGCACTTCACAAATTTCTCACTTAGCAACATAAATTCTGGGCTCAGTTTAAGTCGAGGACTACCTGTAGTGTCTAGAATAAACTTTTTATAAAACATCGATACTGGTTCTCCTCGATTTATGACCGCTACTAAAACCAGAATTTCCATTGTTAAGCAAGGTGGCAGTTAACACATCCAATTTTACGATGTGTTTTGCCATAATTGCTAAGCGAATCACTAAAGTTATTAAGTGAATCAGGCAGTCGTTAAGTGAATCCAGATTCTTCCATTGACTTTCCTTGTTGGAAGCCAGCTGGGAAGGTCACAAATGGGGATCACGTGACCCAGGGGACACTGCAGCTGTTGTGAAGTGCCCAAATTTTGATCACAGGCATTTGCCACTCTTGCAGATCATGTGACTGTGGTGATACTGGGACAGTCGTAAGCGCGAGGACCCAATCATAAGTCGCTTTTTGTGCCATTGTAACTTAGAACGGCCGCTACCAAAATAGTTGTAAATTGAGAACTACCTGTATATCCAAATCTGTTTCTAGCTAGCTTTCGATATGTTGAAAGTGGTCCATCCAATTATTCTCTAAAGTGAGTCAATTTTATGGGCTCCATATGCTGTGATGAACAAGCTCATTTTATGATTAAGAGCCTCTGTGGCGCAGTGGTTAGACTGCAGTGCAGCAGGCTACTTCTGCTGATTGCCGGCTGCCTGCAATTTGGCAGTTCAAATCTCACCAGGCTCAAGGTTGACTTCCATCCTTCCGAGGTGGGTAAAATGAGGAGCCAGATTGTTGGGGGAAAGAGGCTGACTCTATAAACCGCTTAGACAGGGCTGTAAAAGCACTGTGAAGCGGTATGTAAGTCTAAAAGCTACTGCTATTATTAGAGCCTTATGCTTTTCCTAAGACAAATAAGGAATTTGCCGCCCCTCCCAAACAGAAGCTGGACAGTAGATACCTCAAAAGGCAAGTAGTAGTTAATCAAGTAATTAACCAACCGGATGAAGCACAAACCTTGAGGAACTTAATTCATGGCCATGTCTATAACATAATACAGAATAATCTGAGTGATTCCACTGCTAATTCCAATTAATTTGAGCACCAGTAGCATTTAATCCTTAGCAGACTCCATTTAAGTGGCTTATTCAGATGGCATTAGCTTCTCCATGGTTCAATAGGAATATAAGTATATAAGCAGTAGACTTATGTACCACTTTACAGCGCTTTACAAACACTCTAAGTAGTTTACAGAGTCAGCCTCTTGCCCCCAACAATCTGGGTCCTCATTTTACCCACCTCAGAAGGACGGAACACTGAGTCAATCTTGAACCAGTGAGAATCGAACTGCCAAACTGTAGGCAATTGGCAGTTAGCAGAATCAGCCCGCAGTACTGCATTCTCACCACTGCCCCACAAGGTATCTGTAAGTCAGAGAGGCTGCCCCAGAGAGGAGGGGGTCAACTTATTCTCCAGAGGGCAGGACAAGAAACAACGGATGGAAACTAATCAAAGAGAGAAGCAACCTGGAATTAAGAGAACTTCTTAACGGTGAGAACTATTAAAGAGAAGTTGTGGGTGCTTCAACACTGGAAGTTTTAAAGAAGAGATTGGATAAACATTTGTCAGAAGGGGTATAGGGTCTCTTGCCTGAGCCTAGGGGTTGGACTAGAAGACCTCTGAGGTCACTTCCATCTCTGTTATTTGTACTCTGATTCAGAGGATCCCGAGGACACAGATAAACCTCCAAGTGACCTCAACGATCCTCAGGCAGAATGCTAACAATCAGCAAAGAATATAAATCCTCCCATTCCCCACTATTCAGTTAGACCTGAAGAAGCTTCTTGGATGAGAAGCAAAACGTCTTCAGGGAAGAATAAAGTAAGTCCAGCTGCCTTCTGAAAAAGCATCTTTGGTACCAACACAAATCATTCATTACACCCAAACAATACAATGGGTCCATGTTTCTCTGTATTATTGAATATTTGCCATTGTGAGATGTGGTTCAATGCTAAATTGAATTGAATAATTTTTTTGTGATTACACACACAAGAAATTTGTCTTCAATGCAGAAGCTCTTAGTGTACATGCAAAGCAACAGAATAATGACAATCATCACCATCACCATACCAAAAAGAGGGAAGAGTAAGAAAGATAATATTAAGGATAAATAATAGTAATAATACAGCCATACTCCATGGCAAATATACATGGACATCAAACAGCATTGTGGGAATTAGGTGTTCAGCAGAGGTCCAGCCAACTCGCTAAACAATTACTTATTAGGTGTTCAGATTTTCTGGAATCGTGTTAACATGAAATATGTGTCTTTCTATCCAGAAAATGCTTCAATCAATATCATGTTCTAGGAAAAATTAGCAGGACTACTCCGAGCCACTGAATGGGAATCCCAAGCCCCCAATTTGAATGGTGGCTGATTGATATATGTAGAATTGTGTGAGGATCCTATGAAGGAATTTGGAATAAGGGTACAGTGATATAGGTGGAGCCGAGAAATTACAAGATTTAGGACAGGTGACACGGCCAGTGTTATTTTTTTATTGCTGGCTACAGCACAAAAAGGATTCTCATCCCCTTATGTGGCACAGTGATACTATTTAAGTCAAAAGAAATGTATGTACACAAACAGAAGACCGGGCTAATGAAGAAAGAAAGAAAGAAAACTACAAATAAAATAAAGCAACAAAAGGAGAAATGCCCTTTATTAATAAAAGGAAGAGTGTGAGAAAGATGGGAGAAATGAAAGTGAATCAAATAATAAACAAGAATAAAAAGAAATGCACAAAGTCCACTGAGTTTTGCAGGTGTTTATTTTTTTTTTCCATTTATAATTGTAAGGTTCAGAAAAGGACATTATATGTTTGTCAAGATGAAGCCACCATCGCTTCTTGGGAATCTTTGTCAGTAGAGAAGTAATATTCCCCCATTTGAATTGAGCTAAGTAGGGAAGCTAAGTAGGAAGTAATAATAACAGACATCTGGTTTAGAAACTGGGAAGCTGTGAGTTCTAGTTCCGCCTTAGGCATGAAAGCTGCTGGGTGACTTTAGGCCAATCACCAGGAGGTTGGGAGTTCCAGTCCCTTCCCTAAACATG